CGGATTTAAAGAGTTATTTCAGGTCATAGGGTTAAGTGAACCACCTTGTATAAAAGGGAGCAACGTATGAGCCACCCTCTGTTGTCGCGGCGCACACGTTTGTGGGAATCCCCTAGGCGGCGGGGCCGAAGATCGGAAGAGTGGGCGGGACCATTTGTGATCGTGTCGTTTGATACCACGTGCTCGATGTGGTTAAAGCACAGGGGGGACTTCACGTTCTCTCATTTTGATATCAAAGAGTCCTCTCACAAGAATCTCTAAATCGATGTTCTTTGACTTTATAAAGCTCTCGTCCGCCAATGTCCCGTCGCCGCGCCGCGCCGAGCCGAGCCGAGCCGAGTCGAGCCGCGCGCGCGGCTTCTCCTTCATCTTCTGTTATTCTTAACTTTTATTTTCGCGCGACCCTTCCGCCTCCCTCCTGCACGACGAAAGTGACTGGGCAGAAGCTGTCGCTTTATTGCCGATAATTGCGGAAGAGGAAGGGTTGTTGCTCGAGGACGCTCATTAGGGACAATTAACCGAAAGCTCGGACCGCTTCTGCTTTCATCTGCACGCGCAGTTGTAGCGGAACTTGTCATAGAAAATTAGTCGTTTCTACGTTTGACGAGTCACCGGCTAATGATACTCGGAAACAACGAAAATGCTCGGTAACATCGAACGTGAATCGGGCCCGTTACAGCACCCCGTGGTTGGTTCAAGTCACAGCTGCTTGAACCGCAAACAAAGGGGTGTTTGACAATCAGCTCGATGATCCCTAACAACGCGTGAAATGATTCGAACGATTTTTTTCTACTCCATATAGCAGTCAAGATACTAGGCGGCGGGCGGCTGCTGTCCTTTGAGGGTTGGTTTCACCCCTAAAAGCCATTTTTGCGCCGGAACCCTCGACGAGGCAGCAAACTTTAGAAAAAAAAGACGGGGTGGGGGTGGGGGTGGGTATTGAAGGAAGGGGGGCGTCAGTCAGAAACGTTTCGAGTAACCGATGTTCCATTGTACAGGGAAGACCAAAGGCGAAGATGACAATATTAAGAAAGCTTGAAGAAACCTTCACCGTAAAGGTTTATTGGCGTGAAGGAGTGTGGAGCGTGTCTACATCAAAGCGACCGCTTCTCTGAACTCTATTCCCTTTCTACTTGAACCCTCGCGCCGTCATCTCGTCACCACCTCCACTTCTATCAACTACCACCGGCGTCCATTCGCTCTGCCAAGATTGTGCACGCAACCAGACACTCACCCCCGAATGTGTACCCCACCGCGTTTACCACCTATGAGGCTACCCTGCACCGCTGGTGGTTATTAACATCCATTACCATCTCAAACGAGACGCATTGCGACGTACGATCGAAACGCAGCACCGAATAAACCTGCTCTGATATTATTTTTTCCCCCGTCGTACCACCACCACCACCCCCTCCCCCTCCCTGCCTTATTACCTGTCTAGCGGCTCGGCATTAATTAGCAAAACTGCTCACACGCACTCGAAACTCTCGAATATTTGAAACTAAAATACGTTCCTGCCGAACTGGTCCGAGCTTTTTATGATCATTACCGATGTGGGAAACAGGTAGTTCCAGTTTTTGGAAATTCAACTGTATTTGTTTATGCAACCAGACGGATTACGGGCCGGTTTCCTCTTCCGGTTCGGATCAAAGCCGTTCTCTGTTCGAGTTCATTATTTCGAAGGGACGACCGGTATGAAATCACTCGCCGGTTATTTATAGGTAATATAATTGTATTCGAAGTGTCCTGAATAATGTTTTAGCATGCTTATTTACGTGGAGTAGTAATTATTACAGTTTAACTAGCACGGTGGAGGGGGATGGGTGGATGGGTGGGGGAGGGGATAACATCTCCCGGCAATTATTTTAATCGCGTTTGATTGTCCAACGAGGTTAGGATCGTTACTCAACAATAATACTAATATGAAGAAAAGCGCTTGCTCTCAAGATTACATTCATCCGTGCATACACCGTGACATTTGCATAAACAGCGTTCTCTTCCGCCCCTAAGGGTCCAATGAGTAATGCTGTCTTAATTATTCGTAGGATTTATCGTGAATCGTCAATTACGGAGGCAAAGCATGATATAAACTGGAGGGATCCACGTCGTCTCGACGGCCGTATTGGGGTTTGCTGAATAATTTATAAAACTGCTAATTGATATTCGATTGACGGGAGCGTAGACCTAGAGTAGGTAGCGTAACATGTATATTGTTTTGATGAAGATAGAGCACATGTAGCGACGCAGAAGTGTACGGCGGGATAAAAATGGAGGAAAACTACGGACGGAGGACGTGGAACCGGAACGATCGAGATGGCTCGACGGCAGGAAGGAGGAGCAAAAAAAAGGGGGAAGTAAATAAAAAGAAATTTAAGAAAAAAAAACCGAATGGAGCACGGGCAAGGGAAAAAAAGAGGGAGAGAAAGAGGGAGAAGGTAGGCCACGAGAAAACGAAACTGCGACTGGCAGAAAAGCTGGTTGGAACGACTCGAGAAGAAAACGCACCGCTGCGTTCGGCGGTGGGCACGTCAAGAAAGAGAGCACACAATTCGTGAATACACGTTTCCCCGAGACGCGCAAAGCTCTCGTGGCTGGAAGCCGAGAGCAAAAGAGAGGGACCGGGTAGGAAAGATGGACGGAGGGATAGAGAGAGAGAGAGTTGATCCTCTGCGAAAGAAAAAGGTGGAGGAGAGGAAAGAGAGACAGAGACGCACAAGTGCACGGTGTTACGGGCAAGAAAGGGACGGGTAGCAAACGAAAGGAAGCGAGGAGGAAGCAGAAGGAAATAAAAATCGGTGTAAGAGAGGGGAAGGGACGGAAAACTGACCAGAGAGACGGGAAATAAATAAAAACGAATGCGCGAGAGAGGTGTAAACAATCGTAGAGTATTTCGGAGCAGAGGCTTTTCGGTAAAACGCTCGTTAGGAGAACGACGTCGGTTACGTTTTCCCGAGGTAGGTATCCTTGATGTGCTAGGCAAAACACCGTCAGTTTGGTGGTGGATGCTTTCGAGTCCGGTAGCCGCGCGGTGCTTCGACAGGAAGGAGCGATGGTCTGGTAAGGAAAAGGTACAGAAGGCGGCTGAGGACGAGCAAGAGAATAAGGAGGGAAGACGAAATAAAGGCGGTGTAGAGAAGGAACACAGAAAGAGAGGGAGTGGGAGAGAGAGAGACAGAGAAACCAAGCTAGAGAGAGAGAGAGAGAGAGAGACAGAGGGGAAAGGGAGTAGGATAGAGAAAGAGAAGTAGACAGAAGACCAGAGCTGGAGAGGAGGTTTAACGGAGAGAGAGAGAGAGACGGGACTTGGGTAACGAAAAAGACAAACAGATTTTAAGAAAGGAATCGGCACTCTGAAAAGAGAAAAGACGGTAAACGGACTTACTCGGTATGTCCAACGGAGCCTGTATTTGCTAATGCCGTGGTGACGACGCGTTTGTCCGGCGAGACCGACGTTCCATGCTCGAAAATGTCAACTCTTGATCGAGAAATGGTACGAGCCGAAACGCAGACACATCGTAGCTCTCTTTCTCGTCCTTACTTTCTCGCTCTCTCCTAGCGACGACGATGATTCGGCGTGAACTCTCGACACTTCGACACAACGCACACACGCACCACACTCGCGGAGAATAATAGACACCGTGCGAATCCTGCTGGGTAACGAAGCCGGCTCGACACGCGGAAGGCATGCAAAGTGTTTCCCGGCCGCATCGAATAAACAGAAACGACGATGGAGTCACGGGAAATCGGACACGATGGAACTAGGCATTTCGCGGCTCGTCTCTCAGGCACATCTTGGTCGCCATCGAGATCTAACACGAGTGCGCGCGCGGGACGCGCACTCTCGCGGACCCTGCACAAACCCGCTCCTTCAAAGGCCGGCCAATCAACGGGCCGCATGGCCTATGCCCTTGCCGCGAGCAGTCCTGTATCTAGCTGACGTGCCGTCATTCATTCATCTCCTGGAATTTTCTTTTCGACGAACTTCCACGGAACAATCGATCCCTCGGCACCGATCATCGGCCCGGCGACCCGGCCTCGACTCGCGCCTCACGATTTCCCCGGATAATCTTAATTCATTTTGTTTTCTTTCCCACGACATTACTAATTAATGTTACTACCGAGAAGTGCGCGCCCACAGACGCACAAACACCGACGCCCGCCTATATGAACGCGACGGGCCGTTGCCAGTCACGTATCTAATTGATTTAGCACCTTTGTGGCTGGAACATTTTTTCGGAAAATACAGTTTCCGGTGGAAAATGGTTAGACTCGGTGTAGTTTGCTTTTGTTCGTTTAATGGAAATTCGAAAGAATTAAATATATCGCCGGTAACATTCAAATTGATATTATATAGAATTTATGGAAAAATTTATATTTCTCTTATATATTTAGAAATTATTTGTTATATATTTAAAAAATGTATTTAATGAATCTAGTTAGCATCTCCAGTTATTTAATATATACTAAAATATTCTATCGTTTTTCTAATGAATTATTTATCTTGTACCATTAAATTCATGTATGAATTTTAAAAGGTATTGCATACGTCATGCGATTGTGAACAACAAATCTTATAGGAAAAATTTATTCCAAGATATTATTTTTGCAAAATAAAATAAAATAATTGTTAATCAAATTTTAAAATATAAATGAAACATCGTTGATAAGTTCTGAAAATAAAATTGCAATGATGCTGACCAATTTCTACAGTAGAAACAAACGAATAGTTAATTATTTTGTTTTATGCGACGAAATATGTCAAGTGTCAAATTGAACAAAAATTTTGAAATCCTTCGGCCGGTATGTCGGGCGTTCGCAACTTAATACGCAGATAACTATTCTCGGATGAGTAAACAAATTTTCTCGTGTTTTCTAATTGATTTTCTAATTGGTGTTTGCGACAAAAACACTTTCGGTTTCCAGTACGGCTCGGCTCCACGATATCATATGATCTAAACTGCTTTCTGCTAAGCTTCCTGTTCGACCCGCGTCAACGACGGGCGCCACTATCGCTGCTGTCAACCACTCGAGAACAGACAGCAATGTTGGGGAACAGCACAAGGAGAGGGAAACGTTTATAGCGCGCGATGCATTTAATAAACGTTAGACGACGTTTCAAATCGTACGAAACGAACAGGACCTGACGAGGATGAGGATTCATTTGACTCCTCGTTATTCGGCTCGGTAGCTATGAAATCACATCGATACTCCTTGCGTTATACACCATTTTCTCCCTTCTACTGGTTCCGCGCGTTATCGATTGTTACGAACGCGCCGTCTGATAATGCGTTAAATGTGCACTTCCTTTAAGCAATATCGCATATCCTCGCGTTCGTTTGCCTTAAGAATCGAATCGTCGCGTAACCAGGATCATGCGCTCCGTACTAAATTAATGTGTGTGCTTGTATACTGTGCGGTATAAAGGTAAGCAGACACAACAAACACGCGACTAGTTTATTTTGTAATTAACCCCGCCGCATTGTTTACCGTAAGCAAATAAATGAACAGTTCCGCTCTTCTTGGTTTTTAGATTCTATTTTGGTTAGCACGCGTATAACCTTTTTTTTCTTTTAATTGCTGAATGCTTCAAATTTTTTTTCTACACGCATACAAAATCGTGCATACAGCTTTTTGCAGGAGAAACTTCAGGATTAAATATTTAGATTGTAACGCTATCTCCAGTAGTTACAACATGTTGAATGGTTTAGGCAGCTTTCCAAAACGAAATGAACGGTTTTGGCAGCGTACTATTATTGCCACAATGAGATGTAAAATCACAGCGATGGAGGCATTTAAATATTCATATCGTAATTAATGTAATAAAGTAAATTCAGAGTATTATATGCCGTTTTGTTTCTTTAGAGTAAATAGATTCGAATAGCTTCTGTTTATTAGTTTTCTTGTGGTTATCGATACTGCATCCCCTGAATTACGGCAACCGCATGACTCAGCTGTAACGCCGGTAGTCTGAATAGTATTATGTACCTTGTATGCTTTCTTATCAATTATAATTTACATATTTACGATCTATATATTATAATTATTGAATAATTATGCAGAGTTACCTGTGTAAGTTATAATTGTGATCTCAAGCCTTAAAATATTAGCTTAAAATATTAATTATTAAAATTATTAAAAGCAAAATAACATTATATTTATTGCTCGTTTGTTGCCATTAATATAAAAATTTATTGTTTTGCATTATTCCATAGCATGATTAAATGTTAGAAATTCTTTGTAACTATTCTATTTTGTTAAAAATTTTGTATTTTTATGTAGTCTCAAAGTATCAGGGATTTATGATTCTTCACTGAGCTCCAGATAATTGAGATACTAAAAATTTAAATAATTTGACCGTTGTATGTACGTACTGAGTAAGGGAGCAAGCACTGTGCTAGAATCGAGCTTGACCACCAATAAAGAGAATAATTGTAATTGTTTATAGATATGATAAATAGAAAGGTACATGTCCGAACATATCAATATGGAAGCAGAAGACTGAAAGGCCTAATAGAATGGAACCGAGGTTGCCCGTGAAATACGACGATTCTTAAGTTCAGGATGGAACTCAGAAAGGGGCCCTGGTCGAAAAAGATCTTGGTTCCGGCCTGTTTTTTGGTAATTCTAATCTGGATCTTTCTAATCGACAATTCGTTACTTCTCGCTGGCCTGTCCGGTACACCGACCTTACAAAAATCCAGAAATTCTGTCTATTCCACACAAACACACAATCAAAATCTGGACCATCTCTATATCAAGGAATCCTCACTGCTAAACGATGTCGAATCGAAACACTCAAAGCTATCGAAACTTCAAATGGTGTCACTTTGGACAGGCAACAGCAGCGTTAAAGGAAACTCGACTACGCCGCGAAAATATCAGATCTTGAGACAGCAGGGCCTGATGCCCAGCAAACAGTTGCCGACTGCTTTGATAATCGGCGTCAAGAAAGGCGGGACTAGAGCGTTACTAGAGTTTTTGCGATTGCATCCAGCGATTCGCGCTGCTGGATCCGAGGTGCACTTCTTCGACCATCATTACGTTAAAGGATTTCATTGGTACAGGTATGCATTGTCACTAGACTTGCAGATTTTCAGGAACAATGGAACAATCTTTTAGTTGGTACAACCATTGTTGCCTTTATAGATTAGCCTATGAAAATAATTAATCAGTATGACCTTATTAATCTTTCAATAACTAGAAAAGTACTATTGAATCATCAAACATTCATCTTTTTATTTTTATGATTCCCTTCTGCACACTCTAATCTTAATGTTCAATTTTTAAGTCAATCTTCTTTTGAATGAAAGAGGAAACAAGAATCTGTTAGCAAACAGTTACTAAGTAACAACAAATAATCGTATCAATTTACAAAATGATTAGATATAAGAAGGGTGTTTAAAATTAGGCGATTAATTTAGAGAGACGCAAGTCAGTTGAATCGAGGAAATAATATTTGAATGTATAGATCGTTTCTATGGCATTTTGCAGACACCGAATGCCCCCGACCTTATCCACGCAAATCACAATGGAGAAAACCCCGTCTTACTTCGTGACCAGCGAAGTCCCTCGAAGAGTCCAGCACATGAATTCAGCGATGAAATTAATTCTAGTTGTGAAGGACCCTGTAACCCGAGCGATATCCGATTACACGCAGGTGAAGAGCAAGAGGGCGAACATGCCGAAGTTCGAGGATCTAGCGTTTCTGAATGGATCAAAGATCGTGGACACGTCCTGGGTACCATTGAAAATCGGCGTGTACGCGAGACATTTGGAAAGATGGCTCCAGTACTTCCCCCTGTCGCAATTTCTTTTCGTATCCGGCGAACGATTGATCGTGGATCCTGTCGCTGAGATCACGAGGGTGCAGGATTTCCTAGGCCTAAAGAGGGTAATCTGCGAGAAACATTTTTATTTTAACGCCACGAAGGGGTTTCCCTGTTTGCTCAAGTCTGAGGAACGTCCTACTCCCCATTGCCTTGGTGAGTACGCTATAATTACCATAGATTCCAATCTTCTATTGTGTTACAAGTAACTTCTGCCTTTCTTGTTCTATGTAAATATGTCTAATTGTTTCGATTTCATTCACTTGTTGTTCCATCCAAATGTTTTTGATCTTGTTGTCTAATGTACTATCTTTGGCAGAAAGTGTTTCATCAAAATCGTGGATGTGGTCGTTGAAAACATTATATTTACAGAAAAGGAATAATAGTATATACATTAGACACATGTGATAGAAAAGTTGACAATATTTAAGAATCAATGTTAATTTTCAAAGGAATATATAAACATGAACGTTGGAAAGGAATTTAAGAATACTTTTTATCTATAGTCTATTTCATATAGGACAGATTTAAGAATTTTCTGTTTAACAAGAAACTTCTAGGGATAATTTGACTCTTCCTAAAATCACTATGAAATTTTCTCATTTTGTATCTTATAAAATACAAACATATTCGTACTTTCTATGTGAATTTTATAATAGACTTCTTCTCAGTTACATGAATAAATAGACTGAATGTATTCGATGAAACACTTTGTGCCAAAGGTATGCTAAATCAGGGTTGTTCGTAGCCACGTCTAACGAATGTCTATCAGTCCCATAACAGCAGTGTGTAATTTCAAGGTAAGAACAAGGGTCGTAGCCATCCCTACATAGATCCTGTAGCAATACAACGATTGAGAGATTTTTATCGTCCATTCAACCAACGATTCTATCAATTGACGGGAATGGATTTCGGTTGGTTGTGAGATTCTAGGGATAAGTAAATACATATCGAAGATAGTTAATTAACGGATAGTCAATACCGCGGCTCGCGGACCTAAACTGCATGGTCCGGGCGGGCCGTGCAAATGGTAACGCCGGCGAACGTTGCTCACAAGCGTGCGTTCTATATGAATTATTTATCGACTAGTCTCGCCATAAACTCGCATCATGTGCACACGGATGTCGCCAAATTTTCGGTACTCCATCAGACACAGCGCAGGTCCGTTCGCTAGCTAATGAACGCTACGAACCATAATTTTTTAGACAAACTCTTGGCTTCCATCATTGTAAAACATCCGTCTCACCGTCCGAAACTTGGTACATCCTATTGACCAATGAATATTAGAGATAAGCAATGCGGAAACGTAAGCATCACTTATAGGATATAGTAATTCCGGGTAAGATGGCCCTAAAAGTTCCGTATACGTTACAAGCAAGTTCCAATTTCCAGCTTTTGGAAGCGGTATAATGAACGTTGCTCGAGAGTCTCTCGTTTCCATTGAGAAATTAGGTGATTTCTGCTAAATGATATCAATTGAAACTCTAGTATGTAATTTTCGAATCAGAGAATATAGGAAAGAAATTGCTAAGACAAGCTCGAACGTGATTAAACTATGACGTGACGAACGATGATGGGTCGTCTCACTCGGATCATCTGGGTTAGATGGCCTTACGAATAGAGTCCTTTTTAACGAAGAAATCTGTGGATTATCTATTCACTTTGTCTTAATATCATAATTTCGTATCTACTTCTCCGAATATATTTACTTATTGCACATATCGATTGATGCAACGTACTGACGTTTTTAAGAAAGATGGGCCATCACTCCCCAATTTACCCTAATAGAGAACTTAAAGATATAGACAGTTAGGCACAATTCAATGAGTGAAAAGGTCCGGCTTGAACGGTCAAGCTGCGCACTGTCGAGTAACTATTATTACTGGTAGCACGAAGAATTCGTTGTCGCGAGATATTTCCAAACTTTGAAGATTATTATCGTGAATTTTCGTGATACGTACGTCGATCAGTTGACACTAGAAAGTAATTATCGAGAAGAAAGGGAAGGCGGGTGCTGATGTTTTATCGTTAATTTCCATTTGCTCTTGCGTGACTTGGAACGCAAGAGACGATATCCTTGTTTTAATGTGTTGACAATATTCCAACGAATTCCTGTTCTTCTTCGTGATATTACCGCTAGACACGCGACTATTACTAATTATACGAATGATTTTTGGTACACATATCATGCTATATTTTATATACACGATATTATAAGGCAACAATATGGGCGATCGTTTATCTTTCGTGGAAGTAGCGACTAGGTTTTAATTATATCTTCCAGTTAGACGACTTTGTAGTTTCTGATGTATATTTTTTAATTAGCGTACACATGATTTCACGATTGAAGAGGCTCCGATATTTTATTGCCGATTGACGTTGGTGATCGCGTCAATTTTTGATTGTTACCAGAGTCGGCTACAGTTCAAAATATTTTAAATGTTTGATCCTTAAGTTGCCGATGTTTTATAGTTGCGATTAAACCTGAGATATTAAATTAAAGATTTAACGTTTTGTACATTTCAAGAGCAAACTGTGCGAGTAAGCTTAAACTCTATTTTATTTGAGAGTAGCAAGAACTTGTTTTCTAACTATAGTACACAATTTCAACGAGCATAGTTCGATTAAGAGATACCGTTATTAATAACGTCAATTAGACAGTTTCAACGATAAAAGTTATTTAAAAGTTTGTATAATCTATACGAGAAGAAGATAACGATTAATTTCGATACGTGCAGATAGGCACAAGCTTGCATGGACTGCAGAGCCTAAATAATCCATGTATTATATATTTTGCAAAGGTGCACGCGCATTCGCACAATGTAAACGCGAGAGTATGTACAAATGCAATCGTAGCGTTAAGTGAACTTCAATTGATTACTAATCACCGATAGTTGTTAATTATTAGAGTTTATTCCCGAAGAAACCGCATGTTCTTCGCCTTCCAACGACGAGGGCGCGTTTAAACGATTAGAAGTTTAAGCGATCATTGACTCGAATTCTCGAATAATATAGTTAAGTATACATTAAGTTACGTTTTTTGCTCAAGTGGCCTGATTGATCCGAGAGAAATGGATCTATAAATAAATAATAATTTAACGGAGTACAGTATACATATATATACACAGGTGCGTAATGTATACTTACGATCGGCGTTCATTTAAGTTTATACAATTGATTCACACTCTGTTGTTTACTGTTTGTTGTCTACTCAATATTTTATTATCAAATGCTGTTATTCATATACTAACTTCGTCGTTTCGTATTATAAGTAATTCGTTGCGGCAGGAGGCATGGTACGAAATGGTTCCATAATCGTCGTTTCTGTTGACGAGCACTTTACACAGCACTATAGGCACACGTCGGCTATTGTGTATCCTACTTGCAGGACAAAAACCTAATTGTCTGTAGCGGATCCTGTACAAAACACGTGCAACAGGGGTCGGAAATAAATTTATGTTTTTAAGAAACGTTCGAGAGGTCCGTGTTATTCCACCATTCTACCGATCGTCCGACGAAATCCGCCGACGAACGCCGCCGACAAACTCCGTCGTTGGGTAACAAATAACTACTACCAAGAAGCGTCCTGTTACAAACTTTATAATAAACAAACGCCTCCAGAGGCTGGAAGGCGACACGTCGATCGTTAAAACGTCTTTACACAGCTGTAAAGAGTATTTTATACTTAATACTTTCTCCGGACATACCCATTCCGGTCTTGACACTCCCCAGAGGGAACAAAGGAATTACGTGGTCACACTGGTTCAGTTTCTACGTCTATTCAACTATCAAAAAAAAGAGAAAGAAGAGAGAGAATATGTTAACAATACAAATCGAGCCATTTGACGGCAGACGAATCGCAAACTATCAAGTTTTGTTCAAATACGATCCTCCGTGCTCCTGACAACTGCGAGAACTCCATCGAAACGACTACGCATAACGTACAATATATATATTTATATATATATCTAATACATTTATATATATTTATATATATTTATATATATTTATATATATAAATATTATATATATTGGTGCGGCACATACGTTTTTATTCGGTTACTCTACTCTTATGGTTAAAGTTCCTTGAGCAATCTTGTCGATTGATGGACGGAATACATATTGCTGAGAGAACGCCGTTTACGATACAATACGTCGGTATGTTCATCATACGTAATCGTCGGAGATTCGTAAATACTAAACGCGTAATACAATTCGATCGTGGTTCAACGAATACTGATTACGGTACGAGACTATCGTACACACATTTTTTCGGGGTTTGGGGTGAGGGGCTATGGGCTAGGGTCGCTCTTACGTCTCTAACAACAACATCATCATCATCATCATTATCATCATCAATCAAGAAACAAAAGCGGCTCGAATTGGATTATCGTTTCCGTTTGCTTATATCGTTCGATTATCGACTACGAAACATGCTTAAATGTCTACCGCTGCGAAAACGCGTCGCGATCTCTCGACGCTCATCCCGGCGCGGATTAAAAGGCTCTCCTAACGACGATTATCATCCGTGTGTGTGATCGTGTTTACGTACGTGTATGTGTGTGGGTATTTTAAAAAAGTACCAAACCAGCGGATGGTTATTCACCAGTGTCGTAACGTGCTAACATTTGTTCCTAATCTAACGAGACCGCCGCCGCAGAAAATCGATTTCCTGGCATCCGCGACCTACCAATGTCGTCATCGCCGTCATCAACATCGATATCATCATCATCGTCGTCGTCATCGTCATCATCATCATTATCATCGCCAATCATCGATTCCGAGAGCCGATTTTCTGTGGTGTGCGCGAGAAAACGCGCGGGAACGGTGCCCGTTCCTTCGTCCAGCAATTTTCCTCGATCTCTCGTCGATCACACTCAGCCCTGCCGATCGACAGACCTAATCAGCTCCGATCCGATCACGCAGAATGGGCACGGAGATCGCGCACAGGTTGACCAAAGAGCGAATTTCATGGTGTTACGGAAACTCGGCTCGGCCAATACGGCAGGCTCCAGCGGTATCGTTCCGACGGGAAGTCAGCGAGATCGGTTTATGTACAGATCGGACAGCCCGCGGGAAGCCCGATCCCTATCACAAATCGGGGACACGATTCCGACAAGACTTAATGGCAAGTTGCTACGAGGTGCGTGACACCGCGCGCGGTGTGGCGATCGAGGTACCTGTCTTACACGTCTTACAGAGAATAACGTGCACGCTAACGATCGCGAAATCGCTGGGTGTCCCCCGTTCGCTTTCCGTTCCTTCCGGTTTTCCCGTCGGCACATTCTATGTACACAGCGATCCTCTTAATCCTGTCAGAGTCGAGCTCGCTCGACGCCGCCGATAACCGAGTGTCATCGGCTCCGATGGTTGTTGTTCGGTTATTAGTTGAGCCTTACGATTAAACGACGAGTTATGGCATCGGGGGTTATCGCGCTCCTAGCACCGTCTGCGGGCAAGCTATGCGTGTTTACGAATTCTGGCAAGCTCGGAAGGGACTCCGGGTGTCTTCTGTTTCCACGCCGTTCCACGCCGATTTCCACCGCGAGTCGGAGTCTCTCTCCCGTTCCTCCGCGAGCTCCAATAAATTAAACAAGGGAGAAAGATAGCCGAAGAAGAATATAACATAAACGGAGAGAAAGACAGACAGATAGATAGATAGACACAGAGGGAGATGGAGACTATCAAACATGGGATCGAGATTCGTAGAGTAAAAGCGAAGTTGACGGGCGTTCAACGGGCGTTCCGGGTCCTCCGTGTCCGCTGGATGCGGACGATCGGCGGGCCGCGTAATCGTGGATTAGCATTTTCATGGATCAGCCTCGCCGATCAAATTTCCGCTCTCTATTCTTCCCGTTGTTGCGTCGCCCTTTTGTGGTCTCTTTTCCCCGCGAACGATCGAGGCAACGCGCGATTTTCTATCGTCTTCGTGTGAACGCGAGATCTGCGGACCCGTTCCGGGAGAACGACGAACGAGGAATGAAAGGGGAGAGTCGATGAAAGGGGTCCGAGCACTGATTAGATATCTCCTCGGCGATGCCACTGTCTCAGAGGTGCGTGATTATGATATCGTCGTCGATATCGTCCTTCTCGTCGTCGGTCTCCTCAACCTGGTTCGCTTCCGCCTGCGCCGCCTTCGGATCCTCCGCGATGGCCTTCAGCCTCTTCTGCTTGCGCCTGTGCAACAGCTCCACCACTATGTAGCCCATGGTGCCGATGATCAGCACCGTCAGCAACACGTACAGCTTCATGCGGGCGCACAGGTGGGTGCTGTACGCGTACGCTATCACGAAACCGGCGCTCTCCCATAGCCTGTAGTTCGAGAATGCTGCTTCCTTGTTGCGCCTGAACAGTGTCCCGTACAAACCTGTGGACAGTGAACCTCGGTTCGAATCAAACGTTTCGGGAACATTCGCGTTCTATACAGATTAGAGTTATTTCGTCGCAGGGTCTTCTTGGTAATCGATCAATGAAAAAGGCGATGTCTTTGACCAGTTAATCGGTTCGATTAATTTCGCAATGAGGACTTTTTCCTTCCAATGTTATAATGCTTAGAGCAATGAAAACAAAGACTGCTTCTCACTTATTGATCATTTACCTCGACAAGATATTTTATGACATATTTAGAGAACATGTAAATCAAATCGACGACATTTTAATGCACAATGGCCCGGGAAGTGGTTTCCTAAAAGTTTAGTAATCGAGACTTCGAAGCTGTTTGTAATGAATTTTAGGGCAACAGTACGAAACATGTAATAGCGAATTCGAATCTCTTGATAAAATTAGTATTTCTGAAAACGGTCACCGAAGCTCCCGATTTTCCCAAATTGACGCAACCGTCTGCGATCAACGGTATCCCTAACAAATAATTTGTCTCTACCCGATCCGAAAGTTTTTTGCACTGTGTTTGGAATACGCGGAACATGTTTGTCTTTTCGATGAAGGAAGACCTTTCTGCCGAATAGCTGTCGAGCAGCTTCATTAATATCCACGTGAACTTGCGTCATATCGAAAGATAGTATTCTAGCTGACGGTGCGTCGCGGTATTTCAGTAGATGTGGAGTTCGTTAATCGACAAGCACGTCTAAATGACCACGAAATCGTACCTGACGCTAAGCAGTATGACAAGAGATGGGAATCGTTAAAGTGTAGTTAGCAAACTGGAAGGTTGACTCAAACTGAAAGAATGTAAGAGAATCAAAGAGGTAAACGGTTGGTTGTAAATAAAATTGAAAAAGTGGTTGGTAGCTTCACCGATAAGATACATACGACTGTTTGAATAGCAGTTAGAAGACAATCTAGTTACCAAGCATGTGTGCGGCATTAGCGTTTACACGATAAACTGGAAGCAAATAGAAAATGAGTTTCTAAAACGAGTGTACTCAATAAATGTATATACCGACGCTGGGGGCACCGGGTACGTATCTCGTTAGCTTTTCATTCGTACTTTAATTTTCAGCTTTACGATCTGTTCCATATTTACTAAGCTCATTAATTCAGTACGCAATCCCCGTGCATCGTAATCGAATGAATTATCATAAAATCTAGCCGTTAATCTTGGCTATTGAATATGCACAAGTATGAATTACAAATTAACAATAATTTTCATTGTTCCCGTTATATTTCAAAATCAACTACGTCCGTAATATTAATAAGCTACTTAATCGATTCGGCCGACGTTTGTTGTTCGGAATTAGAATGTATCCGGGAAGATTTGTACATCGGATCATTCTAGATACACAAATTGATTGAATTACGAAATCATGCCGAAATAAAAGATTCTACAGTATATAATACAGATGATTATACAGTTATTTCTATTGGACCCAGTAAGAAGATGAACGCTGATCTGAAAGAAGTATGTTCAAAAATAGCTTCGACGAAATTAATGCGCAAGGATTTGCAGTTATTAATGCAAATGTCTACCAACTACCGTTCGCGAACTTATTAAATTTAAAAGGAAAAATCTTCGCTTTATCACCAGGTATATAGTTATATTTTACCTCAGCCTCTTAATTCTCAAACTAAACCACAAAATGGCCGTCGAAACTGGCGCCGTAACGACGCCTCGCCCTCTTTGAACCTTGTTCAACCACGCTTAAACGTTCACAAAGTTAATAAAACGTGTACCATTTTGTACAGTAGAGTCTACAGAATCATCCCATGCAATGATCATTCGCATAATTATTGCAACAGAAGCAGGACAATATTTAAACCTGTGAAAAGAGCAGTAATCGAGCAAAATGCTCGATTCAACCACGCTTCAACATTCACAAAGTTGATAAAACATGCACCATTTCGTACAGTAGAGTCTACAGAATCATCCCATGCAATGATCATTCGCATAATTATTGCAACAGAAGCAGGACAATATTTAAACCTGTGAAGAGAGCAGTAATCGAGCAAAATGCTCGATTCAACCACGCTTCAACATTCACAAAGTTGATAAAACATGCACCATTTCGTACAGTAGAGTCTACAGAATCATCCCATGCAATGATCATTCGCATAATTATTGCAACAGAAGCAGGACAATATTTAAACCTGTGAAAAAAAACAGTAATCGAGCAAGATGAAGTAGAACTACGATTCGAACGCGTCCTCGACGCTAAAAAATCTCTATAAAATCACCTTCGGACCATGGACATGTAAAAATCAGGATCGGACAGCTGTAACATCGTTACCAATAAAAGCCGGTGGGGGAAAACTCGGTTTCCAAGGGCGTTCGAGGTGGTTTCGCGACACCTACCATTAACTTGGGTCTGCCAAACGGCGTCGCCGACTCCCCATAGTCCCGAGACAGTGTAGAACACGTAGGGGTTGTCGGGATGGGGTTTCCAGTGGAGTAGCACGACGACAAGACTAGCGTGTACGATGGCGCCCAGCGCCATCAGCGGCTGCCTGCCGACGAACTTCATTAACGAGCCGAAGACCAGGGAGCAGACGGCGTTCACCACGCCGAAGCAGATCATTACGTAGCCCACTCGGTGTACGCCCAACGCGCAGGAAATGTACGCCTTCGAACAGAAAAGAAAGACACACGATAGGAACGTTAATGAGACGGCGCCTCGCTAATCTTGACCGGCGATTCCGCCGGCTCCTGCCAGGATCATCCTCGCCGGGCAGCAATGTGTCCCATGGCGCTTCGCCGGGCCCGTTCCGACAACGAGAAAAACGAACGCGTACGGCCGCGTACGGCCACGCTCGCGCTCTCCCATGAACGCAAGAATTTTTCTCGATTATCTCGGGCTCGCCCTGCGCACCCGGTTTTTATGGCTTCAATAAAAGTTACTTATCTCGCGTACAGGGTGTCCGTGAATAAAGATCGCCCGATACGCCGGATTCTGGTTAGGAAGTTTACGCCGGCTCTCGAACACCGAAGCCTCTCTTCGGCTTCGTGTTAGCCGGCATTCAGCCCGGAGGTTGATGAAGATATTAGTCTCGTTCCGCGGTTTTAGATGCCGCCAGCCGGGATTCACGGGCGTTTTTCATTCAAACCGTACAGTCGGCTCGGACATCTTTTTTTTTCTCGACCGGGCCCGATAACGCTGGACGATTATTTAAATTAACGAATAGCAAAATAATGCACGGGGGACAGGTTTGGCGACTGCGTTAGCGAATCCGTTTCGGAATTTATCGTTGGAAGTTGTAAATTATTTTTCATTCGCGTTGGAATCACTTAACATCGGCTTCCAAGATCCGAGCCGCGCGATTCTCGTCGCATTTTCGGGTAAATCGTTTTTAACGCGCGTTAACAATTACTCAGCGGATCGATTATCACTTTTTCAATTCTCTTGATTGCCACATCTTTCGTTGTGCTTTCTAGTACATTGTTCTTAAGGTGCGTTCCGCGTTACTCGATCGGGCGCAGCATTGCTTCCAACCTTCGATTAATGCGCTTCTTGTCGCGTTTTCTGGCAAATCATTTTTAACGCACGTTTGCGATTTCGCAATCGTGTGCAGCGTCACCGCCGTGTACGAACGGCAAGTTTTTCGAAAACGTTGTTAACACGGTCGCGGAACAACTGCTGCTAAATATGCAGCGTGGCCGGGATGAGAAATACACCGATAAAAAGGTGACTATTAGATTCGCTTGAAATGACGCGAGATAAGATGGTGTGGGACCCGAGGAGCGTAATGGTGATAGCTCCTCGGTGAATAGCCTTGGGTTCTTTATTAATTTTGCTCGGAGTGTACAGTGTGTAGAAAAGGTATTGGCACACACCTCTTAAAACGGTATAACTTTTCTTGAACCTGGACTGAACGACTTTTGCAGACGTTAGTTAGGATTAGTTCACTGAACAATGATTTTTATTTGACTTTTTCTAAATGACTCTTTTATGTGACTTTTCATTAAATTTTTCCATCGCTCGGGATGACGGAAAAATGAAAAACTGACGTTTTTTTAAATTTTCGTTATAGCTTCAAAGTGAAGAATTTAAGAAACGATAGTTTTCTCTATTTTTTCTTTTATTTCAATAGCACAATTGCGAAAAGGTATTTTGGTCATTAAACGGTAGACCAGTTCTGTTCCAAAGCGTTCGAATCATTTATAGCGTAGCCTGAGAAAAGTCATCGCGTTTCAAAAGTGTGCCAATACATTTCTTTTACCCGCTGTAAATCGATCTATCGTGATTGCCCGCTGGAACGGCGCCGAAAGATGAAACTCCGCAAACAAAAGTAAAAGGAAACGCGCGCGCGCCTTCTTGGATTCGTTTTCGAGCCTAGGCATCCCCCTGAATCATTTTACAAAATCGCGAATCATCCGTCGAACGAGAAAGAAATTGCGGAGATGCCGGAACGTGATTTCGAGCGCGTGTCGGTCGATTGAATTTTCGAGAATCGTCCTCTCCCCGCCTGGTTGTTCGTGTTCGCAAAACCGATTTCACGCCGGCAAAAACGAGAAAACGCCTCGCCTCGGTGCCGAAGTAGTTTCACTGCAGGGATGCGTCTCTATGCGCTTTCATTCGAGCACGCGTGTGCGTGGCGAAGGCGAGGCGCAGGCTGCGCGCCGTTCGACACCGGCGCGATCCGCGGAGCGGGAAAAAAGGAGCGAAGAAAAGAAGAAATACTGGTTCACGGGATTCCAGGTATGGAAGTGGTATCGGGGAATTGCTGCAAGAATAAGATTCTGGACTATTTATAACATGCGGAGAGCCAGCTGATTCAATGGGAGCCAGGCGTCTCGGGGATCCTGATGCCTTCCAGTAGCATTTATTTCTCCAATTACTTTATTCCTTGGCCATCTTGTTGTATATATATTTCGTCATCGAACTGGTTTCAAACAAGTTCGCCTTCCAAACTGTATCATTCCTTTTTTTTCCCCTCCCGCCGCTCCCCCTCCCTCCCCCCTGTCGTCCTCTCTTCCACGTCTTCCTCCCTGTCTCTCGCTCTTTCTCTCTTTCTCTCGCTCCTCCACCCGCGGGCGAAGGCACGCAACCGAAGCCATTATACAATTAATAAACCGAAGATGATTCGGTGGTTTAAACGGCCGAAGGATGATGATGCGTGCCTCCGCGCTGGATATTTTAGCGTATCTGTGATCAGCAGCATGTATTTCCGGAGAACAATTGCACGACCTCGCATGGCCGTTACGCATCATGAATCTGCCGTTCTGTATCCGGTTGGTATCCGGGTGATCCTAGTCAGTCGTTCGTTCTTTTTTTCCTTTTTTTTTTTTTCTTTTTGTTGTGGTCGTTGCGTCGCGCCGCGCCGCTCTGTTCGACGAGGATAATCGTTAATGACTTCAGGATGCCGGTTTCGGACGTCGGCTCTCCTGTCCGGAGCGGTGTTTCGTGATCGAAGCGATTGCCGTTTGACTTTTAATCCGGCAGGAAGCTCGTTTGACTTTGTAATAGAAAATCAGCTCGACGTTTGTTCCCTTCGTGCGCCGCATCGCGGCTCGATTTCCGCGCTTTGCGATTCGAAATTAAATGTTCCAATTAGCTCTCGGATATTTTCTAATGCCGGATCTCTCGGCGGATCAGTTTCTTTTCTCATTTGAATACCGGTTAGAAGATCGGACTTTTGCTCTCTTTCTAACATTACGCCGGCGTAACCGCGGCCCGCGATTTTGATATCCACCTAGCGTCTCGTCGGTGGATGTTACAGATTCTTACGAGATACGTTACGAACGTTTCGGCGCACCGTGGCGGAAGTTACAGGAATTATTCGCTTCGAAGGGACAGCAAGGTGCGAGCGCGTCGAAGGAAAGTATTGTTATCGATCGCCAGCGGCGCGATGATGCGCTTCTAATTAACCCCTTAATGCACAGTTCTTTTGAAAAAGGCCGGTCAAAAAAATCAATTTTTTTTAAATGTAAGAAAACACAATTTAGAACGTTGTCTTGGCAAGAAAATTACAAAAATACAAAAATAATCAAAATTTTTATTGCAATTTTGAATCAGAATCTGAATATGAATACGCTGTTGGAAAGCGGCTCACAAGGAAGAGATAAGTCGTAAGTGATAGGTAGAAAAAGGATATATTTTATACTTGAATAAGTAAGTGTTACAGCTTACAATCCCATGTAAATGATAAATATCGATAAAACGATTGTTTTTTTTTTGCTTTCACATTGTTATCTTCAATTCTCGATTGCATTCGAGTGTGAAAAATTATAGCAACATAAAGTACAACGCCGCTCGAATTATCTCGAGTGTGCACAGTTTGGCCAGTTTAGCGCGCTCGAGTTAACTCGAGCGTGCACGTTAAGGGGTTAGTCTCTTATCGCGCTGGGTTTATATTGTTGCCCGGACGAATTTTCTTGCGTAACAAGGTTTAATGTGTCACCTGCGTGAAGTCCGCGCCGATGAACGCCTGTTCCATGCCAATCCATACCGTGATTGGTATTAGAAGCTGCTGATACGGTTTCTTCAGTTGATAAGCAGTTGCGGAAAGCAATTGTATACCACTGAGTTCCTGGCTGTCGGCACGTCGTTGCTTTTCACCGTACCTGAAAGAAAAGGCGGGAGATGTTAGTGTCTGTTCCATGAATAATTATATTATTTTATATTATTTTTTCATGTGTTAACAGAAGCGCGTCAGCGACGGAAAGCGAATTCACTTTACCCTGGTCGATGTTTAATATTTGATCGTCGGCGGAACGCAATGATATACATTCACGAAACAGAGGATCAAAATTTAACCGTTCGATTTTCCATATTTGATAAGAGAACGATGCGCGTTCAACAGGATTTCGTAAGCAGACTGCAGATTTTTACGCGCTCGCGATGCTCGTAATTACGCAGAGCATAGAAGACCATTGAGATCGTCAAACTTTTTAGTTTTAATATTATCGTTTTCCAATATTTATAAAACAATTGTCAAAGCAAGGAATTCGCATAAAGATCCAGGGACTAGTCTTAACTTTGCACACTGTCATCAAAGCTTGTAACAAAATTTTCTGAAGCTAAACTGTCTTACCATTGACACAAAAGTGAAATATACAATTAAAATCGATTGTTCCTACTTCGAACTTGAATAACGAAGAGGTTCGAGTTCGATTTACATAATTTACAATCGCCATAATTTTATAACATTGACGGAAAGCGCGTCGAAATAGATGCTGATTTTCATAGAAAATGTAATACGGAACAGTATTTATTTCAAACGATGTATCAAATACATAGTAAACGGCGATTGCTATTATATTTTTGCTGCAAAATTCCCTCTGTAATCGCATTTTTTATCGAACGTTGAATATCCTTAACGTCACCGAGTTTTTACACAACGGCGTCCAGTGGCGACTGGATGATTTGACAATAACAGATTACGGAATAACTAAAAGACTGTATCAAAAAAGGAACTAGCAAAAAGCGAGCGAGACAAAATTACAATTCTTCTTACAATGCTATTATCACCACAGATGAATCGATAGCGGTTCCGCAGTCTGGCGATGGTAGTCAAAGGTTCGAAATCGGCGATCGTCATTACGGTCTCGTCATTCGAAAGAGGATGCCTCGTTTGTCGTGAAAACCGATTTTCGTCGGCTTATCCCGCCGAATGGCGTGCGTTTATATCATCAGCCATGAAATCGGTAATTCGTAATTCCGACATCAGGAAACGACGTGGTTCGCGTGCGCTGCCATAGAAATCCCGGACAATATATCGACTCCGCGAAACGGTGTCCCGGATGACTTGAATGGGTTTGCCACGGGATATCGAAGATGAGCGCGGCGCACGCGTTCGTAACAATCGGATACGTTCGAGACGCAATTTCGCCGACGGCGAAAACTCCCGAAACTTCGAATTCTCCCGATTCGAAGCCTCTCGAAAAACGAAACCACGCGGCGACGAGCGCGACCGTTACGGTACACGTCCACGTGCCGGTATTACAGAAGCCGCGTCTCAACCGTCGACGTAATTATCGTTGCATTTAAGCCTGCAATTAGGGTAAAGCCTCTCGCTCTGCTCCCTGGCCAATCATCTTCTACAAAATGATTCGCGGTTTGCCGGTGCTTTCGTGGACTTTTCGTTTCCACGGAACCCTCCGTCTGGAATTAATTATTAGATGTCGTCTCTTCGCTTCTTCTTAGAAACTTTGTTGCCGATCGCGCGGATTCAGCTCGGAATTCGACGCCCGACGCATGAGATTTCTCTGCTTCGAAACATCATCGGTCGATTCGCTGTGACAAATTTCCGTGAAATATTTTCCCGGAGCTTTTATCTTAGACTCTCTGTCGCGAACCGTGACCGCAGCTTCTGCGCATTCACGAGGAAACTGCACAGCTGCACTTTGTAACAATAGGAACGTTCGAAGAATTGACGAAAAACCGACTATCTTTTACCGATTATACGATACCGATTATTTTTTATTATTTCTAACTGGTTCGTGTTCCTTACAGCGGACGCAGGACATCTTCATTTTACATCATGATCCGCGGTCTAATTATGGCGCTGAATTTGGTCGTCGCGGCAGAACTATGACAGATCCGTTCAAAATCCTTGCGCGTCGATCTTTTCGGATATCTTTAGCTCGCTTCTCTGGGATCAACGTTGATCTTGTCACCGGAGCTGATACAAATAGCTAATGGTCTGACCCGGTTGCTAAAATATTCATCGAAACGTGCACGGGTCATATCGATTTGGTTGATGGCACAGGTGCAGGTCGGAGTCGATTGACTCCGATTTACATTTCGTCGGAAATAGATCAGTGCGAAGGCGGCGTTGAACGCGCGAACGTGAAAAGATCTTGTGGACAGGTGGTTCGGATACGCGAGAGTTTGTCCGACCTCTCGCAAGGATCTCCGGCTTCTCGGCCCGGTCGTTCTTCCACCTCGTGGACGGAGCATGGTTGCTCCGTTTCATGAAGGTTCGCCGCGTTCATTATACCCGCTGCGAAACCGGTTCCACTGTGTTTTCTTCGCGCTCGATTTTTTCCGCTGGTTTATTTGTCGCAATCGGAGGAAAACATCGAATTCGGTTCAGAAAACGGTCGCATACCCGGCGCAGAGCGTCCTCTTTCCGGCGCCAGCCTGGAAGGCAAACACGTTGCAACTAGAGATCGAGTAGCTACGAATCTAGTTGCAGAGTTTCTAGCTGAATGTCTCGCGAGTACAGTACATTTCTGCCGAATTTTTCTTTGGTTTGTAAACAAAAATTGACTAAAATGGATTATTCGAGTCTCGCGGCTCATTTTTGTAGTTTCCGATTGTCGACGATTATAAAAACGAGGTGCAAGGCTCGAATAATCGGATCTCCTGTTCCAAAATTGTTCATCATTGTTTGCTAAGCTGAAGGAAAATTAGGGAGAATTTACTGTACTCCGAAAAAGGATCACACTTTCGAGCAGATTCGAACTGTTTTCGAGTACATCGGACCTGGGCAAATTTTATTTGGAATGAAAATAAAAGGAGTGGCTATTTAAACGAATTTCGTTATTATTTTATTTCGAATGTGACGAAAGAAGTGATCCTCAAAATAATATGCAACAGAAAGATTTTATTTTATGAAACCTTTACAGTAATTTTCTTTGAGTAGAACTCCTTAAAAACGTTTCTCATTATCGGATAATCGTTTAACATAGCCTGATGGGGGCTTTGCAGATAAATAAATGCAGATAATATTTCAAATAATATCATTTCAAAAGTGGAAACAATTATGAAATAAAATAACACGTTGTTAAAAATAATAAAAATAATATTCCAAATAATGTCATAATTAGTCATTATTTCGAATAAAGTCATTACAAGTTGTACTCATTTTAGAGATCAAAACTTTTACGAAATGATTACTGCAGATCTTTATTTGAAATAAAAATCGTCCACCTCGATTGCAGCGAACTGAAGACAAACAAAGGTTTCCTTCCTTCCTTAATAGATTTGATAAGTTAAAAATAACGTAACACAGCATTTTCAAGGTCCCTTAATCTTTCCACTGATTACGATTACGACGACAATAATTACATACAGCAAGCATACCGGACGAAACTTCACTGTTTTCGAACAGTAGCCGAAAGCCACGGAACGCAACCTATTCACCGAAATTCGCTCGAATTCAGAAGCGTCGTGTCCGATCGCTAGTCGCAACTGCGTGATCGATATAATTCCCAGAAAGATCGCGGAAGCGAGTGCTCGAAGAAAGCGGGCAATCGTAAAAGAGCCGTTCCGCAGAATCCGGTAAATTATCCCGCGCTAAATTTAGCTCGCGGAGCAGTTGAATCGCGGTCCGAGGGTCCGAGGCATCGAGCCCGGAGCCGGTCCAAGGGACCGGGGGGCCCTGGGACGAGCTTTCGGACTCGTCGGGCCCCTCGGCGACCGGCGGCGGCGCGGCGGAGCGGCGGGCAGCGGCGGATCCGCGAAATAAATCTTAATGGTAGCGTTAAACTGGCGTCCGCCCGATCCTCGAACCCGGACGGCATTCCAACGAACACGTTCGTTGTTTGAGTTTCCGAGCCTAATGCTCCCTCTCCCGGTTCTAGAACCCGCCGGCCACGTGGTGCCGGTCATCAACACTTCAAATGTTAGCGAACCCGGTTAGCGGTTTACACGCGATTGTGCGGGGAAGTTTGAAACCTCTGACGAGTTCTTCAACCGCCGGGCTCTCCCTCCGACAGATTAATGATGGCTACGAGCGAGTCGGCTGATCCTCGTTCATCAATACCGCGGTTATTTGGTTCGGTCTGGGATTTTACCATAATGACTAGACGGCCGACGATGTTCGGGCCGCGACAAGTCGCGTCAAGTCGCGTCGCCGTAACAGTGTCGCCGACGAAGCTGATGGGATTAGCTAAAGTCCACTGTTTGGTTAACTGTTTGCACGTCTATTTTTATTCGGGTCATCTTTCCTTCGGCTTCACGGAGCTCCAAAGAATTCTCGAATACTCTCTTCCGTGTTTCCAGAATATTATCTCATGCAATTATTTGTTTACTGCATTGTTTACTGTATTGTAAATACTCCCTAATTGACGCTCAGATTGTATACAAAAATTGGCGATTTGGGAAAAGCAGATATGATTATTCGAGCCTTATGGCTTGTTTTTTTAGGTACCGATTGTCAACGATTACAAAAACGAGATGCAAGGCTCGAATAATCGAATCTCCTCTTCCCAAATTGCCCATTTTTGTGCACTATCTGAGCGTCAATTAGGGAGGATTTATTTCGAATATCTCAACGAAATTCAAGTGGCTCGGTGCAATTTTAACGCTGAACCTATCGAGGCGCTCAAAATCACCGGTTTCATACTTTTTATTTCAAAATGATCGAAATCATGACGACTCTTTCGTAGGTAAAAATTGCATAAATTCCGATAAAGTTCGAGTATGCAATGTAGCAAAAATTGTCGGATTGTTTAAATGAATGAATCTTTAAAATGAATCTTGCCATTTTTATGAACGCGTCAACCAATTTTAGTACTCCGTAGCTTCGGTGTTAAAGGAGTTATTCCATTATAGAGGGTGCAGGGGAGACTGAAGTAATCGCGAACACTAAAGCTTTTATTCTTTTTTAAATCAA